GAAGGCTAGCAGTATAAATGTAGATACTCCAAAGCTCCTTTCATACCCCGACAAATTGGCTGATCTCAAACCGTCTGAGTATATTTGAACGCTTGATGGTGTGAAAGTTGCCCATTCCTCAACTGGCGTTGTAGTTCACGTGCACTTAAGTTAACGAGGCAGTAGGAACATCACGTTGTGATTAATCAGTTAGACATGGCGACTTAAAACGTAATTAAGACGTGCTTTTGAGACATTTTTAACTCGCGAAAATCTTCCCCTTGTCTAAATGCCCATTATCACTGTTTCAACCATTTACCTCCACTAAGAGGAAGTCATCTAGAGGTACCACAACCTCCAACTGTGTCAATTAGGTTTTGCTGAGAGCGAAGGGTGAAGTAGGAAGTCTAGGATAACAACTCAGCTCTTTTGGGAAATGCCATGAAAAACTGAAAAAAATGGTATAACTGAAATTAATTCTGAAATAAAAGAAAACAATTCTGAACTATGTGAAAATCATATCGCGACCACGACACCTTAAATTCTCGTCGAAGAGGAAACAGATTGAACATTGCAACAACCAAAAGATTCGCAAGCATTGAAAAATGCAAATTTTGTGTTGAATCTTTGCGAATTGTATGCAAAAAATGAAGTTGTCCTAGGTAAATAGGTAATAATTGTATGATTTTGGCCAGCTAGTTGAAAAGGGATTCAAGCGATCGTCAAACGCAGTTGTCGGAGCAAGAGCAGTAGTGATGCATTTAATGGCCACTTTAAAATTTCGATCATTCACACATACGTTACACCTAAGACTGATCCGCTAGGCAAGTAGCTTAAATTGTTTCATAAGCATCATTTCCCAACAAGTGGCGACATTTGCACTCAAAGTAGCAAATTGAGTGTGATTGGCTCGTTTCTCAAAATTTGCTTAGTTTTGTTCCTGGGTTCGTATATAGAGATGCTAGAAATCTATGCTTGAGAGAGAGAAAGGGCGAGAGCTCCACCGAGTTCGCCTTTAAACGAAAGAAAAATTAAAAGAGCTTTTTGTTCTAATCTTTTTAAAGTTTGTGAAGAGAACGCGAAATGGGGACGGAGCAGAGAAGGAAAGAAAAGGGAAGGGAGGGTGGCTAAAGCTTTGCTCAGAAATGCTCATTCTCTGACGGTTAGCGGTGAAAAAGCTCCATTTGTCGGGACAGTCAAATGCACCCCAAGAGCACACATACACGCTCCTTCATTCCTGCAATCTTCTTTTGGTGGTAGTAACGATAGATGGGCTTCATGCTCTGCTGCTGAAATTGGGGAGAGGCAACAGCAACACCGGCTACATATCCTAGAGGCAACAAAAAAGGTTCCCTTAGGTGTTGCTCCTAGGTCAAGAGTTCAGTTTAATGATTCACACAAGACGTAGGAATACTTAGCTTGTCTCATTTTCTTTTCACCTTAACCTAAGGTTTTACAGAAGCACCATTTCGCCAATAGAGGCCAAAATATTGGCAAACTCATGCAAAACAAACTTCCTTCAACTTGTATCTCCGTCGGAGCAGCAAAATACACTTCTGTGATCTAGTGACTCAGCATAGCGAGGCGCAAAACATCGGACTAAAGAGCTAGCCCATTTATTCTAAGAAGACTAATCAATACTTGCAGCTTGGAGAACGAAAATTGGTAGAACATAACAAAATTGAGGAAAATTGTCATTAAGACTACCTACCAAAGCCCTATAGATATTTGAAGAATGAAAAAGCTTAGGGCTGAGCACTCCAAATCAACCATCTGGAAAATAAAACATTTTTAAACTCAGAAAATGAACTCAAGCAGACACATTACTTACAAATCACTTCTTAATTGAGCCGATTCGCTGCCGGTTGATATGAATGATTAGGTGTAAGATGCTGCGATTAAGATGGAGGAATTATCTTGGCATTCATAATTTCTTGGTTGAGAGCCAGAAACTTTGCATAAAGTAACATAACAAGTATTTGGGAAGAAGCTAGGTGGTATTAGAGGTGCTAACGAAGCAAGGATGGAAGGAAAATAAGAATGAAGATGCGAGAGGAGAGCTCGAGGAATGCCTTGCCATGGCGACAACGGAGAATGTAGCGATGGAAAGACGAGGAGAGGAGGGACGAGGCAAAATGAGGTGAGGAAGAATAAGGGGGAGGACACCCGGAGGGCTGTGTGTGTGTGTGCTTTTGAGGCTCGCGGGTCAGTTATGAATAGGAAAAATTTGACTTACGCTGTTGCCGCCACCAGCGACATCGCACCACCACCTCAAACGCCACCGTTACTATCACGTGGGCCGGCACAGCGGCATTTGTTCGACGAAATGGTTTCCCTGCACAGAAAAACCTCTTCCACACTATTATTTTCTGCTTAAATTTCATACACACACGTCCTCATCCCCGAAATCGCGTGAATGCAAACACAGACGTGGAGCGAGAAAACAACTTCTCTATACCAATCCTTCAAGGTTTTTGCCATCTTCTCTTCTTTACGGTACGCAAATGATTATTCAATCCTCGAAGGTAAAAATTTATGCCTTCGAGAGTATTTAAGTGGACAAGCCACTGGTGAATCACGCTATCTTAGAGCTCAATTCGCCAGGCTTTTTTCCTCTTATACTATAAGAGACCAACCAAAAGGCACCTCATTCCTTATAAAAAAAAGAGCAATGAGGTTGCTTTTGGTTTGAAAAGGATAACAAAGTTTACACACATCCACATACACCTGATTCTGTTTGCGCTTGTGAGTAAAGGCATTCGGAGAACTACAGAGGACTCTGACGCAACAGATGTTACAACATGGGGCAAGGCGTTTTTTCCCAAAAATTGCCTGTAAATACAAACGAGTCCCTTGAGCTGAAAGTGCTGATGGCATATTAAAGGATAAGGGACCCAGACTAGTAAGGTCAATTTACAGTCCAGCGCCTTTTGATCGATCATTAGGATGGCAAAGGATTAGGCAGAGATTCGCTTGTCTGCTGACCCACTAAGTCACTATGCTCCATACGTATTTCTCGTAGAAGAACAGACAGTAACACTCAAGCTCTAGAGGAACAGTCCAGATGACAAAAAGCATGCTTTACATATTAACTACTTTTCATGATTCATGAAGGTGGATCATGCATCTCGAGAGTATATGAACGACGAAAGTTTTCCAGCTGCTCAAAAGTAGAAAAAAAGTTCAAGGAAATGGAAGAATAAGGAGGAGAAGGAGCCTGACGAAAGCCTGCAACTGTGCTAAACAGTCATTTCAGCCTGACCAAGGTAATAGCGTGTTTAGGAAAAGAAAATGCACGACAGCATTACCAGATTATACACAACTTGACGGATCCAGTACTGCCACAGAGTTGGAGATGATAGGATACGATAAGTGGAAGAGCACATGCACAGGCTGTCAGAGCCTGACAAAAGAAATTGTAACGAATTCGTTGGATGAAGGAGGAGGAGGAGGAAAAGGAGAAGAGTTGGGAGGAGGGAGGGGAGGGATGACAGTAAAGGAGAAAGGAGAGGGAGACAGCCAGGCAAGAAGAAAGAAGGAAATCACCTTCGTCAAAAGTTGACGTTCGTGCAGTAGACGCGATAGTCGTCTTCTGCTTGCACAACTTGACATGCTATAACAACCAGTCTATCTACAAGCATATCCTCTTCCTTTCTAACTCAGCAGAAATGGGATGAACACAAACAGGAAAATCAAAGCTTCTGCATTCCTGTTTTTCCTTACTTCAGTTGAATAGCGCGCATTTCGTGGGGTTCAGATATTGGATTATTTTGCAGCAGCAGAGGAAGAAGAAAGTATAGATCCTCAGCGTATCATAAGTGCCAAGCATCCGAGGAATGGAGGCAGTGGTGTGTAAAGGTTGTGGCATTTCAAAGAGTGCTTCACAGTAGGGCCCCAGTAATGAGTATTTTTATGCTTTTTCTCCATAACGTAGAGGAGGAAAACAAATAAGAAATTGCGATGAGGAATAACAGCACAGAAATGGTTAATCGGTAATTGAGACGGGTTCTGAGTTGCTCAACGTGCTTGCTCTGCAGTGGCGCGAATCGCGCTAAGGCGTTATTCTTCCGTGACCCGGTAACAGGCTGATTCACCTACATGCTACTTCCCTTTAAGGCATTAGTGAGACGAACGGCCTAAATTAAAAGGTCTTTAACGACACAGGCACCAAAGTAGCATACAAAAGGGTATTAGGAGTCTCATTTGTTGCATTACGAATGGAGAAGTAGTGGAGCGATTAGTAAGATTGCGATTATGGCTATGATTGATATTATCACATTAAAAAACTATTGAAAGAATTGTAGTCTTTTGTTAAGGACAAAAGGAGGACAATACGAACAATAACGACGTTGGTGACATCGTTATGTTCTGCCTCGTGGCGAGGTCCACTTATCGAACTTGTCGTATCTCCCTTTCTGTCAACAAGTAAAAGGCAATATTGAGACAACCTCACCTTGGACTTGCTTTTGGACAGAGTAATGTAGAGACGTTACTGAGAATACAAGACTAAAATGCCATCAAAAAACCATATTTTCATGAAAAATCCGCTGATTGGATTCGACTCCCATTTCATGAGGTTAAAGTGGAGGGAGAACCCTGATATCACAATTTGAAAGTGGCATTGTGGAAAGACTGGATCCCACCATCTTCCAATCGTAACAAGAGAGGACAGTATTCGTGAAGACTATTATATCAGCCAGCTGGTAAAAGTGAACAAGATGCTTCTCCAAATCAATACAACGAGACTTTTGGTTTTATGTGAAAATTAGACAAACAACGAAGCGAGGTGGTTATACCGATTTAAGAGGTAAAATTCACTTGTTTATCATGTTCTGATGACAGGAATAGAGGAAAAATTAGTTGGCTAAGGGTGATACTAAACGGCTGCTACGGAGAGGGAGAGTCAGAAAGGCTGGAAACAAAGACAACAGTGGCGGCAGCAGCAGGAATACTCCATCTCCATCACCGACAAGGGAGGGGAAAGCAATATAAGTGTTTGGATAATTCACCGACTCGAATGACTAGCCATTGTTGTCGGTGTTGTCTTCGGCCTCATCACTGTCGGAGGTGGCGGCAAAGGCGGTGGTGGGTGCTGCAGGTTTCTTTCCCTGCAGGCACACACACACGCACAGGTCCGTGAACAGCCGGACTGCGTCGGTAAATGGCGGTATTGACGATAAGAGAACAAATACACATAAGGCACAGCACAAGAGATTATATTCTTCGATGCAACCGGCCTTCTCTGTCCTACATATTTACGTTGTAGACATGTTTGAAAGAGCTTATAAAGCAGATGTGGGCATGGGAGGCAAGAGTGGATGCTAAGCAGCTTCGTCCGTCAGACAGATTTACAACTTCGCCTATTGCTCAAACGAATGAGACATCTCGTCAACCAAGGACAACAACTAGTTACTAGACGAATCGTGGACAAAAGTTCTCATTACTTACCAGTTGGCTAGGCACGATTATGATGAGAACTTGGAAAGTGGTAACCATTAATAGCGACACTGTGACGTGCCAAACACACAGTAGAAAATATCGAAGGAGTCTTAGTTATAAACCAAATATCAGAGTAAACGAAACAGACAATGAATCATAGTTTATTGTTCAAGAGTCAGATAAGCAAATGGAATTGGGTGGGAGGGTTAGAACCACCTTACCCTTTTGAAGTTATTTCCAACCAGCTTGTCTAAAAATTTGTGAAAAATTTCGGATAGCATCCACCTCTTAACTTAGGTCACAACTTGAAGGAAATGAAATTAGGATTGTAGGTGTACAAAAGCCTTGCACAAGCATTTAATGAAACAAATCTTCCAGAACAACCATCAGCTCGGTCTAGCCTTTCGTCGAAAGAGTTCCTAAAACATTCATTTCTCCTTAAGATGCGTGAGTTAGGTGAATAAAAGTCCCGCGCAGCCGTATGGGAGCTCACTGACCCTCTTTAAGTGACTACTTCAACAAAGAGCGCTAAAAATCAATAACAGCGGGTATTGTAACTCACCGATTCAGTAGATGGAAACATAAATAATTCCAGACGTCCCACAGCCGATCTCAAAGCAGCCTCCTGATCAGGACTACGCCAAACGCCACCAGCCAAACGGTTTCTTGCAAGCGATAGCCATGCCTTGGCCAACTGAAACACATGACTCCTGTCCAGGGCATCCCACTGCTCCGGCACTGGATGAATAGGATGGTCCTTGCAATAGACCCCCTCATCATGCGAGGTCAAGCGAAGAAGGTCAATCATCCAACAGACTTCCTTGCCACCGGTCAGAAAGCCGTCTGCCCAATCATATGCCAGCTGGTGGAGAGCCTCGTTGGCACGTTGGTGAGAGGATGTTAGGTGAGAGAGGCAACGCAGAGCGGCTTCCATGCAATCTACGGTGGCTTGGAGATTCGACAGCGATACAGAGCGTCGACCACAGAGACAGGAGAGAAGAGAGGGCGGGATTGGATCATACTTTGGCGGAGCCATGCATGGACCGCCAAATACAGTGGCCTGACAGAGGGTTGAGTGGGAGGCAAGTTCGTTCATAGTTAATGTTAGCAGTCGCGCGAGTAGCGGAACGGCCCCATTCTACGAAGAAAAGTATTTGTTATAGCATTATGCCCAAACCCCTAATTGTTATTCCTATGACGTTCTCCGGTCTAATACAGTTTTTAATTATAGGATTATGGAGTAGGCAATTGCGAGGTGTGAAAGCAATTTAGCCATAACTGCTACGGCAACTAATAGTCTTCATCTGAGGAAGTATTATACAAGTAGCATTCTGCTGAGCTTTATCTTCCATAAAGAAGTCGATCCGTCGGTGTTTGAAAATTTTTTGTGGCCGACAGTGGACATTCGGTATTGAAATATGGAACACTTGAAAACACTTAAAGCCTTTGAAAGCACAAATGAAGGACATGCGGTGTTTGTCCTCATAGTAGGAAAAATAAATTGGAGAGAACAGTGAGACACTAATATTTTCTGCAAAGAGACATTGTTCAGCGTTCCGATATTGCACACGTTCCCCCACAAGCAGTGACGCGCAAGAATACACGCGAATACCCATCCTGACACAGGCACAGCCATCCACTCAAAAAGGTGTGATGTCAGAGGTACAGATAGCGGTATGGCGGAGGGGTGGCGAGGCGCAACAGAGCCAATCACAATGTTTCGATCATAAGGCCTCCTGCATTTCCGTGTAATGGGAAATTGACTTTAAATAAAAATAACCGCCCGCCTACACGTCTTTTAGAATTTGAATCATAATGAAAAGACACAAGAGGGCAAGCTGCTAATTATCAGTCCAAATATATGAATTTCGGTTGAAGCGTCTCGTTCAGGGTGGTTTAGAAGTGTTTAAAAAGGATCGCATTTTGATTTCGTAAAAGATCAAAGTACAATTGTTGATAACAAATTGGCGACGTTTTAGTTCAGAAGAGGGTCAAATGGACAGTTAGAAACGGCAAAATGCATTTTCTACAATCTTACCAAAGCGAATTGGCTCCAAAATTCTGATGACAGAATAGATTTAAGACCTTACACTTAGGCTTGAAAATCTATCGGATATATCAACGCACAATTATAGATTTATGTAACGACTTAGGCATATAGAATGCAATAAAAAAAAAAGACTGAAAGCATACTTCCAAAAAGAAACTAACATCAACTAAAAATAACTTAGTGAAGGGGTTTCGACAAGTGAAATTCGCAAGTGTTCCAGATATGCATCTACTGATGGTGTATCGGTCTTGCAAGTCATAAGGTGAATAAATTTTGGCTTTCCAACATCGGGATGACTCCTCAATGCTTCGAAGTTTCTGGAGGAGAATTTCACTGATTTCATTCATCTGATGATTTGCAAGGCTTGCACATTGATCAGATAGGTTTCGAAGTGTCCAAAAGGCATCTAGGGAAATCTGCTGAAAGGTCGAGTTGGCTGAGTGCTTAAAAAATCGAAGAGTGGGATCATTTTTTAGGATGTCCCTTTTCGTCTGTGGATGAGTCGATAGGATGCGGAGAAGACGGACACACACACTTTGCGTCTTTTCAAATTGATAAGTGTGCACGAAGTAAAGTAGAGGTATGACACCTTGCTTTGCATGTATTAGCCGTTTTGACATTTCGTTTCGGTGAGCAAGTAGATAAAGGCTGTCACAGGCAATTGATAAAAATTTTGAAAGGGATGTTGACGATGCAAATGCTAGATAAGGGTTGCAGGTCACAGGCGGATGAAATGACTTGTCGTAAAGAAAGCAGGTCCAGAGAATTTGAATAAGAAGAATTAATATCAGAGGTGTGCGAAACTTGTCACGAAGAGACTTATGATCAAGTAGGTTATGTAGACCAGCAACTGTGTAGTAAAGAACTGATTCTAACGGGAATGATAGCAATTTCGCGACAAATGCAATGTATGAGTCAGGTGGAACCAAGTAGATTGCAGTATCGTTTTCTGTCAAATAGTAAAATATTCCACTAAGGCAATGAATGAGGTCTGGATGTTTTGAAACGTCGATAGCAAGAATCACCGTCCTCAGAGTCACGAAAATTTCGGGTACGAAGGATAACAATGTTTCCGAAAATCCCGATCGGCACAAATGCAACAGATGTTGTGCTGAAGATCTTATAATAGACACATCACCAGACACCAATCCCATGCAATAATTTTGAACCAGTGGAAATGCAGCATCGTAGTCCAATGGGTAACCAAGTCCAGAGCATTCATTCCACGGCCAGTCATCGGAGGAATTATCAGACGTTGCGCTTGAGGGACGAGTCTCCTCTGCAGATTCCATTCCAGAATCAGATGACAACGATGCAGACTCATCAAAGTCATAAATGCGGTTCATCATTTCAGTCGTGTAATGAAAATAGAATTAGCAAAATGTGTTTTTTTATTTACACATAGACAAGAAATAACCACACACAACACGGAGCAAGATTTGTTTGTTGCACGAATTAACACCAATACACAAAATCGCAACTAATGTATCATCTAAACAAAACCCAAGGTAACTAATTTGCGTTCGACGAAATATCACCCATTGTAAGATAAAGACAAATATTACAAGCACTGGATATCTTTTATGGACATATTTAAGAGTTATAATCCAGCTAAATAGAATGCTATTATTGAGCATAAAGATGATAAAAGTTCTTCGGAATTAAATAAATGCTCAAATTTTATTTTCATTGTTTAATATAGCTGTAGCGTCCCGAGGCTTCCAATGGGGTAGTAGAAGGCATAAGTGGGGTTGAATACATGT